GACACTGTCATTTCCTGTTCCTTCTCTTCCCTCTCCTCCATCTTCACAACCCCATTCTTCGCAACGCTCCGTTCCTTCGCTACTTGAACATCTTCCAATCCACCACACGTTGACTTTTCTAACCCTCTAGTCCGTGGGTTTGCCTTTACCTACAATTCCTGATATTTTCTTCATCGCCAATCATGGCCTATTTACATGTGGAATATCCGCGGCCTCAGGGGTAATCGGGGTGAGCTTCAGATGTTGCTTTCCAGGTTTTCCCCTGTTGGTGCTTGCTTACAAAAACCCAAAAAATACACTCGGCTGTTTCCAACCTATCTCAGGCTATAATTTATTGTATTTTCGGATCCTTTCTCAGATGGACCTTTAATGAAAGTGCCCTTCTTCTACGCAATGATATTCCGTACTGTCAACTATTTGTCCATCCCTCGCTGCTTTACACTGCAGCCCGTATCCACTTGAATAAGTGGTTTACAATATGTTTTTATATCTCTCTCCTTCTCGAGCATTTTCTATCCCAGACTTTGCCTTTCTTTTTTTCATCCTTCCCCACCACCACTTCTTTTTACTTGGTGATTTAATGCCCCCATTTCTCTGGGGGGGTCTCATTGTGACTCACGTGGCATTCATTGGAGGCTTTTCTTGCCTCTCACCCCCCCAGGGTTTTAAATACGGGTACCCCCACCCATTTTGATCCTCGTACTATACTCTCTCTTGATCGATCTATCAGTCTGCCCCTTCCTCCACAGCACTAGACTTCACCCGGGGCTGTTCTACCAGACTTACATGACAGCGATCATTTTCCGATCATTCTTACTTCTCCTTCCTATTCACCACCCTTTCCCCTTAGCCCTCGCTGGCAATTTTATCGGGCAAATTGGGATCTTTACTCACACCTCACTGCTTTTAGTGAGGTTCCCTTTTTCATCCTCCATTGATGAGCTCCTACACATCTTCTCGACATCAGTTTATACCGCAGCTTCTCATTCTATACCCCACACTCAGGCAGGCATTCTCAGAAGTGCGTGCCTTGGTGGTCTCCTGCTTGTGCTCGTGCAGTACGTTTGAAACGTGCTTTCATGGGGCAGGTACCGGTACAATAGAACCGCTGAGAGACTTGTTGATTTTAAGCAGAAGGGGTGCGATCGCTCGCCGTGTCATCCGTGGGAAACTAAACGCACTTTTTGGCGAGACTATGTTCCCACCATTACCTCTGCTTCTTCTATGAGTGCAGTCTGGAAAAAAGTGAGGAAATTGAGTGGTAAATACTCTCCTGACCCGGCTCCTGTTCTACGGGTCACTGGTGTTGATATAGCAAACCCTCTCGACGTTGCCATTGAACTTGGCACACTCTGGGCCGTATTTCCCGAGGGCTCCATCTATGCCCCTCGTTTCTTTTCCCCAAAGTCTGCCAGAGAGTTAGTACCCTTGGACTTTTCTTCTCTCGGAGAAGAACAGTATAATGTGCCTTTTACACTTCAAGAACTGGAGGCAACGCTCTCAGCTTGCCGATCATCGCAGCTGGGCCTGATGACATTCATATTCGTTTTGTTACAAACATTTACATCGGTCAGCCCTTGTAGTCCTCTTACACTCTTCAATCTTATTTGGGCACAAGGAGTTCTTTCCCCAGCTGTGGAAATTGCCAAATTGTTCTCCCTTTCCCCCAAACCGGGTACTACAGGACATGATGCCTCCCACTATCGCCCCATCGCTCTTACAAGTGCAGTTTGCAAAGTGATGGAACGCCTCGTAATCGAGTTTAATGTGGTATTTAGAGACTCACAACAGTCTCTCCGCTAGTCAATATGGTTTCGTAAGGGTCGTTCTACCATAGACCCCTTACTACGCTTGGATACGTATGTTCGTAATGCCTTTGCGAATAATCACTCAGTTATGCATATTTTTTGACCTTGAGAAGGCATATGACACAAAATTGGAGGTATAATATTTTGGCCCCGGGCCCCTTCCTTAGGCCTCCGAGGCAAACTACCCTCCTTCTTAAGAACTTTTTAACTGACAGACATTTCCGTGTTCGAGTCAATAATGTTCTTTCCCCCGGGCTTCGTCCAAGCTGAAGGGTCCCCCAGGGATGTGTTCTAAGCACAACACTTTTTCTCCTTTCTATAAATGATTTGGCCTCTGTCTTCCACCCAATATTTGGTCATCACTCTAAAGTTGATGACTTCGCTATTGCTTGTGCAGGCGCTGACTGTCACCTTTTTGCAGTTTCTCTCCAGCATGCGGTCGCCCCTGTTTTTCCCCTTGGGCCACCACACATGGGTTTAAATTTTCAAGTACCAAAACTCACCAAATTACTTTCACTAGACGCTCTGTTACTCCGATCTTTCCCTTTTTATCTCTATGGCTCCCGTAAACCCCGAACGTGATACAGTCAGGTTTCTAGGCCCCTTTTTTTGACCGTCGGTTAACCCGGAAACCTCACATTACCCCTCTGAAGCAACTTGTCACAGCCGGCTAAACCTTCTTAAAACCCTTGCTCATCTTTCCTGGGGAGCTGATCGTCGAACTCTGCTTCGCCTACATTCAGCCTCGTTTTATCGAAACTCGATTATGGTGACCAGATTTATTCCCCGGCCTCTCCTGCTACTCTCTCTAGCCTTACTCTATCCATCACCAAGGCTTACGTTTGTGCCTTGGTGCTTTCGCTCTTCCCTGTTGAGAGCCTCTATACAGAAGCAAATGTTCCATCCTTGTCTGATCGCCGTGATGCCATTGCCCTTTGTTACTATGTACGCTCTCACGATCTACACAATCCTTCCATTTATAGAATGGGCACCGTATTAGTAGACATTCTTTATTCGTTCGCCGCCCCTGTTTGCTCCGTCCCTTTTTCTTTCGCCTACTTTCACTCTTGCTTCCCTTTAGTTACCACCTTTATATGTTCATGTAGCATCTCACTTTTTCCCCACCCCCCTGGGAAGTTCCAGCTGTTCGGGTCTGTTCTTTCTCACTCCTTGCTCGAAAGCTCAACTGCCTACGGTGGCTTCCCGCTCTCTTTTTCTTGATCATTCCACTCTCATTCTCATGCCACCGTGTGTACACAGATGGCTCTAAGTCTTCAGACGGCGTCGGATTCGCAGCAGTGTTTTCCCGGGCAGCGTCGTACGAGGGCATTTACTATCTTCAGCTAGCATTTTTACTGCTGAACTGTATGCCATTCTTGCGCACTTATTCGTATCGCATCTATGCCCGTGTCATCATTTGTAGTAGTCCCCAGACTCCTTAGTGCTCTACAGGCTATACGAAAAAATTTTATACATCTCATCCCCTAGTTCTCCGTATCCAACCTTTGGCTACGCCGTATCTCTACCAAAAAATAAAAATATTGTTTTTTGTTGGGTCCCTGGTCCCTGTCGACGTACAGGGCAATGAACAGGCAGACACTGCGCGCGGTCAGCAGTATATGACCTACCAATTTCCTATCGAGGTGTTCCATTTCTAGACTATTTTGCTGCAATAGCTACCCACCTTCGCACCCGTTGGCAACAACGTTGGTCAACTCTGCTCGGTAACAAACTTCATTCTATTAAACCGAGCATAGGTTACTGGCCGTCTTCTTGTCATCAGTGCCGAGGTTGGGAGACCACTCTCTCCCGCCTTCGCATTGGCCACACTCGTCTTACTCATGGGTATCTCATGGAGAGGCACCCTGTTCCTCTCGTGAGCAGTGTCAAGTTCCAGTATCGATTAGCCACATCTGTTAGACTGCCCTCTCTATCAACGAGCACGCAGAATTTACCTCCAACGTCGTCTTCGTTCTCCTACTCTCTCTTTACCTTCCCTTCTTGCTGATGGACCCTCCTTTAATCCTGACTCTCTCATTGACTTCTTGACAACGACTGATTTACTCCACAAACTCTGATGATACTTTTCACACTCCCCTCAGCCCTTTCTGGTTCAGTCTCTTGCTGCCCTTTACCCTTTCACCATCCACTGCCCCGCTGTTATCCGTAACCTGTTGCTCATCCATCTCCCTTTTGCCACCTGATGCCCTCGCTTCCTTCCTGCCCTGCAGCGCTGTATAGTCCTTGTGGCTTAGCGCTTCTTTTTGATTATAATAATAATAATCCCTCCGCGCCCAAGAGGACCTCAGCACTGCTAGTAGCGCAGATGCAGCATGGAACCCGTGCCATACCCTACCCTTCATGCCAGTAAACCAGTAATCCGGGATAGCAACCTCACATCTGCCAAGCTACCTCGGTGGACAAAAGAGAGGGCGGCCAGATATCCGCCACAAAGCATACCTCCTTCGGCCACCGCCAAGAATCTCAACGGAATGGGATGGACCCTGGTACCCTTTTCCCTGCCTAGGAACTAGCGCTCCTGTTGGAAAAATACCAAAGGCCAAAAAGAGGAAGGGCAAAAGGGAGGGGTGGGGAGATTGGGGGTAATTAGGTTCGGTCTGCGGAAGGAGACCGACGTCTAATTCCTCAGACAAAGCCTCTTCACCATGCCAAGGAGCCCCCCTTAAAGAGGATTCATGGGAGGAGCACCAAACCCATCAGAGTCATACAGACCATTTTAACTTATCAACTTTACATGTTTCTGAAAGCTAATATTGTGAGGTAATCTACAGAAGATGTACACATGACTGTTTTTTTATAATTTTGACATACCAATATCTGGCTTCTTACAAAATCCAGCAAGTGGAATTCTTTAACAAATTATTCCAGTGCTCCTTGATATGCATAAAATTTTCTAGACCTTATAGTCTTGTGTAGGAGAGAGAAAAGTGATATTGTAGAAACTTTTGATTGAAAACAAGTTAATCCAAATTAAGCTGACAGATAATACAATAATTATATAAAATGCCTTATGTATATTTATGTCAAGTATACTAGTCTACATGTTAAGCTGTTGTATAATAAATGTATGCCAAAGATCTTTTTTTCCCCTTTGGCCTAAAATGAAGCTTTCCAGTAGTTTATATCACCTAAAAAAAAGCCTTGTGTATGTAAGCAGTTGACACCACTGCCTCACCTGATATTTATGACTGGTGGCTCTGGTGTGCCACTTAGTGAGATAGTGGAGGTTGTGGTGGAGGACCTCACAGTGCCATTAAGGGAAAGCCCATCACCAGGAGTCCCACTTGGAGGCACTGCTGGAGGGGGAGGTTCATACTTGAATTAACAGGAAATGATCCACTCGCTAAAGGGTTTTTGAGGTACCGACGGCTGCCTGAGTACAACCTCCAAAAATACCTGAGCGAACTGAAACTAAGATGGGCATAATTTTAAGTATTTTATTAAATAGCAAACCTATGTGATCCCTCAATAAGATATTATTTTCATAAAAGGTATTGTTTCTGAGTAGTTGTAGTAATTACTCTGCAGTGTACACTATGTTAAAATGATATAATAACTAAGATTAATAATTCCTTAATTTATCTCTTATTTGCACTTTACATTTACTAAAACAATGCACTGCTAAATTGGTACAGTACTTTTGAGCACGTTTTTAAAAAAAACTGATGGAAAAAGAGGTCAGTAAATCTGCTGCATGGGGGAGGGGACACATCCAGCAGAATCATCATTGCAGCGGACAAAATCCATTGAACATACGTCTGTCCATATGAGAGGTGTTCAGTAGTACCAACAATGAAGTAGAATAATCTGCTTTATTGCAGGTTTGTCTAGTATGGTCTGCATCCAGCATTTATCCATTTTTCATTGAGCCAGTGGCTCAACTCACATCAGTTTTTTGTCATCTACAAGCACTCGCCTTCTGTCATTATTAGGTTTCCTTTTTTTCCCTTTATTTTCAGGGGTTTTTTCTTTATTTCAATAAAAAAAGTGTTATTAGTAATGAACCTTTAAAACAAGTGATGATGCCAAGAGAGAAGCATGTAAATCTGAGTGTTAAGCAGACACAAGCTAATAAGGAAAGTGGAGTCTGGAATCTCCTCAACCATCTATGTTTATTGAACCATTTATGTCTCCCACACTATCAACATCTACTGCACCATCCATCTGTAAGGGTCCTACACCATCTGCAAGTTATTGCTGGAGCCTACAGTTCTCTGGTACTCAATAAAATTTATGCTGAGTAACCACCAGAAAATTAACTGTACTTATAAAATCTCTTATTTTCAGGTATGTACTATAATTTAATATTGTACTGTACTAGCTTATTCTTAGCATGTCTGTTAGTACCATCAATGCAGTAAACTAATTCTACAGCATTGGTCATTGTCCATCTCTGGCAGTATCTACACCACTATGGACACCCCCTTACCCTTATTAATCTGTTAAACTAATGTACGTATTACTATTCACTGTATCACTTGGGTGATAATTCAAATTACTTACTGTTGCTGGTTCTAATGCTTCCATTATTATAGTTATTTGTGGTGTGAGTATTGTTATTATCAGAGGATGAGAGTTCAGTCCCCATAAGGCCGTTGGAAGATATCGGATTGCCTAGTGGGGTCATCTGTCGGCCATTACCCTGCAACTGATCAAATGAAATAGGTTCAATAAATAAGATTATTTGTTACATGATGAATGATACAGACTTTTTGGTGACTACACAATATACTAACAGGAGAAAAATATAATACAGTAGGACCCCCGGTATCCGCAGTTTACCATGGCCTGAAAATAACCCTTAACTTTACTTAATAATGGCCTCAAAGTGCAAAAGTAGTGATGGTAGAAGTTCTTCAAAGCCTAAGAGAAGCTATGAAGTGCTTCCCATAAGTGAAAAATAATTCTTCACTTACTGAGCATAATTTATCAATTAAACTTTATAATAGGCATGTATAGGACTTTTATATAGGGTTCACAGCTATCCGCAGTTTTGGTATCCTTGGCAGGTCCTTGGAATGTATCCCCTGTGGATACGGGTCCTACTGTACTTTGTAAATACAGTACCTACAAAGTGGTGAGCTGTTGAAGTGATTTGAGCATAAGAAGAGAATTAAGAAAAAACAGGATGACCATGAGGGTGTATAAATCCAAAGTGGAGGAAGGAGGGGGCAGAGGTCATCCAAGAAGGATTAGATGTAAAGTGTGAAGGAGATTTTTAGTAGTATGGGCTTGAGCATCCAGCATGTGTGAGCGTGTTGGAGCAGAGTAGGTGGAGACAAGGAGTTTTAAGGATCTGGTATGTTGTTGGAATGTGGACAAGATAACATTCATAACTGGAATCAGAGGAAACTGGCTAGCTGTATTTGAGTCCTGACGAAAAACTGGTAAGCTATATTTGAGTCCTGGGGTGAGGATATTTCAGTTCAGAGGGTCATTTGAATTGTGAATGTTTCCTTTTTTGGGAGACAGCAAATATGGTAAAAAAAAAAAATGTATAAATGCTGAATTTGTTTACCATATAAAGGTTTAGATTTAATAAAAGTTCAAACATTTGATAAGTCCAATACAGTATTCTTTATATGTCAAAAGATGTGAAAATATACAGTATATTTTAAAATAAATACACTTATAAAAATAATTTGATAGTTAACTTTACCTGGTTATTTAGTGGAGAGAGTGGATCCAATTTGGTATGAGGGATGTTGTTGGATGTAATCTGATTCATCTTGGTGGGTAATGCAGCATCGGTATCATCGCGACACTTCTTACTGTCATAAAAAGTAAAGAAACATTACCTCAATCGTATACTAATGGTTAAAAACTAGGGGATAATAAATGATATTTATATAATAGTGATATCCTCATGCTCACTGACTCACCCTATGGACAGACACACACAGATGAGCACATGCATACATTTTTTTTAACACATTGGCTATTTTCCACCAAGGCAGGGTGACCCAAAAAAAGAAAAACCCAAAAAGAAAGAAAAAACTTTCATCATCATTCAATACTTTCACCATCACTTATACATAATCACTGTCTTTGCAGAGGCACTCAGATACAACAGTTTAGATGTCCCTCCAACCTGCCAATATCCCAAACCCCCCCTTTAAATGGTAGGCACTGTACTTCCCATTTCCAGGACTCAAGTCTGGCAAACCAGTTTCCCTGAATCCCTTCACAAAATATTACCCTGCTGACACTCCTCCCAGTGTTTAAAGAGTAAATTAAGTGACTTATAGTTTTACCATTACTTTAATACTACAAGTCACAAGCCTGTATGAAGAACAGTCAATGTATTGCATTTATCTCCAATTGTGTTTAATGTTTGATTCAAGAGTATCTTTGGTTTTTGAAGTGTTTAAGTAAAAAGTCAAGATTTTTGCCCCTTTTAAAGGGAAACCCAAACCTTTTCTCCGGTTGGAAACTGACTACCTCAAAACTGCAGTTGCTAACAGGAAGCAACACAAGATGAGTGCTCTAATATTCCCTCAGGTTAATAAGTTACAGTGGTGTGAATATCATAATGCACACAGCAAAATCCAACAGCAAGACTCCTCCTTAACAAATACAGAAGGTGCAAAACTGCACTTACATGGAGCCTACATTCCTCATTTTTGTTGGCAAAGCAGCTGTGGGACCATCAGGATATTTTTTGCTGTAAGAAGAGCATCTTGTTATCAGTCGTATTTGGCATCAATACCAAACAAACAAAATACAGTAAATACTATCTTCTTTGTCCCAAATTTTAAAGCTACAATTTCATGTGCTTCGAAATGTATTTTGTTCAAACCATAATTGTCAAGTCAAAAAAATTCCAGCATTACTATTTCACAAACTATCTGTATTCTGAACCGAATAGTAAGATATACAATAAATGATTAAATCTATAAATTTGTTCTGTGGCATTAGACTCTCTAGCCAGATGGAAGCAATACATTTTTTCTATCCCAGTGTGTCGTAGGGACTCAAGAATTCACATGTACTAACGTTTGGTTCTTACATTATGAGTGCGCAAGAACAAATAACAATACTGCTGTCTAATCTGCAGTTACAAGGGTTATGTCAGCTTTTAAACCTTTTGGACTCAGGGCAAAAGTGCCTTGATGCCAATGAGGGACTCTTGATCCAAGGCACTAAATTTATCTTCCCCGTGGATTAAATCTGAATGCTTTCCATTCCCCTTGTGTTATGACCCCAATGGGTTTAGCACTTGCAGAGTAAATAAATTAAGACCTGTGGATTATTTGTTGCCTGCCTATGCTCCTAAGCGTGTAATTTAAATATGGTGTCCAGTGCCATTAATGCACACTTGACCCTTTTAGAGAAAAGGGTGTCTTAAAGCTACCCTTCCCTTTATTGAATTAAGTCTATTACCTCCAGTTGCCCAGCCACTGTATGACCTAGAGTTTAGCACTGTTCATAAGTATATATAATTAATGCTTAGTACTCACAGTTGTAGTCAACTGTCTATGTAATATTTTTTTTTTTTTTCAACAAGTCGGCCGTCTCCCACCGAGGCAGGGTGACCCAAAAAGAAAGAAAATCCCCAAAAAGAAATACTTTCATCATCATTCAAACACTTTCACCTCATCACACATAATCACTGATTTTGCAGAGGTGCCCAGAATACAAGTTTAGAAGTATTTACGTATAAAAATACACAATATATCCCTCCAAACTGCCAATATCCCAGTTATGGACAAAAGTGCCCTTTTAGGATGCTAAGTACAAAAACAATTTCAATTACTTTTTGTGAATGTAGATGCGAGGCAGATGATTATTAATACAAATATTCCAAGGAGGGCTCCGAAGATGACCATTACAAGAAGCTGGAGTTGGCTCCAAGTGGAGATGACTGTACCAAACCTGGTGGGAAGGTGATGCTCACGGGTGCTGATGCCTACAAAATAAAGATATGCATGTACAGTTTTTCCTAGGTACATGTAGTAGGTTGGCAGACAGCAACCACCCATGGAGGTATTACCATCTTGCCAAGTGAGTGTAAAACAGAAGCCTGTAATTGTTTTACATGATGGTAGGATTGCTGGCAGCTTTTTTCTGTCTCATAAACATGCAAGATTTCAGGTATGTCTTGTTACTTCTACTTACACTTAGGCCACACTACACATGCATGTACAAGCATATATATATACATACCCCTTTGGGTTTTCTTCGGTTTTCTTACTAGTTTTTGTTTTTGTTTCCTCTTATCTCCATGGGGAAGTAGAACAGAATTCTTCCTCATAAGCCATGCGTGTTGTAAGAGTCGACTAAAAAAGCCGGGAGCAAGAGGTTAGTAAACCCTTCTCCTGTACACTTTACTAAAGTTAAAAAGAGAAACTTTTGTTTTCTTTTTGAGGCACCCTGCCTTGGTGTGAATGGTCGATTTGTTGAAAGAAGAGGAAACATACAAGATTTCAGATACATCTTGCTACCTTACTTACACTTAGGTCACACTACACATGCATGTACAAGCATCCTGGACCTGGGTCCAAGAGAACATGTAGGCCAGGTGAATTACAAAAATTGGATATGCTAAATGTGGAAGACAGAGTAAAACAACTGAAGTTAAATCAAGTTTATTAAAATTGCTCACAAACAGTGTCCAGAATATTTTGCTGCCAATTTTGTCAAGGTTGGGAACCAAAGCAATCATAGTACTAGGGGGAGAGAGCACAACTTGTAGTACCCACAGTCAGTGGCCAGGCTTCAAACATCTTTTATTGTGCAGCAATAAAGGAATGGAACAGACTGCCCGCACATGTCAAAGCCAGTCATAGCATGAACCAGTTCAGGAAGACAGCCAAAAGGTACCTAATGAATGTATCGACAGACAGGGAGGAGAATAATTTTATATTTTTTTTTAGCTAACATACATGTACATGTAAATAACTCATTTTACTTTATTCCTAGTATATCTCCTTCATAGTATAATAATAGGTATTAAAGGACCCCAATGGAAATAAGTCACTGTCTGACTTTTTTGGGTTATCCCAGGTTCTCTACACATATGCTGCTATGTATGATAATCTATGTAACTGTATTTGTGTATATTTGAATAAACTTACTTACATATATATACACACACCCTTCTGGCTTTTCTTTTGTTTTCTTACTAGTTCTTGTTGTTTATTTCCTCTTATCTCCATGGGGAAGTTGAACAGAATTCTTCCTCCGTAAGCCATGCGTGTCGTAAGAGGCGACTAACATGCCAGAAGTAAGGGGTTAGTAACCCCTTCTCCTGTATATGTTACTAAATTTAAAAAGAGAAACTTTCTTTTTTCTTTTTGAGCCACCCTGTCTCAGTGGGATAAGACTGGGTTTGTTGAAAGAAAAAAAAGATGCACAGTTTTTGTTTTTAAAGAAAGGCATCCTCTTCAAGGGGGGCTCCTTGTTGTGGTGAAGATAATCTTGGTCTGAGGGAAACAGACGTTGGTCTCCTTCCTCAGACCGGAACCTAATTAACCCCCCCCCTTCCCTATCCCATCCTCCTCTTTTCCTTTCCTCCTCCTCCTCCCCACCCTCCCTTTTGCCCTTCTTCTTTTGGGCTTTGGAATTTTCCCACAGGCACGCTAGTTCCAGGTAGGGGAAAGGGTACCGGGTCCAAACCATTCCGTTGAGGTTCTTTGGCGGTGGCGTAGTTTGCCGTGGAATCTGGATCGCCTGGGGATGTCCGATCCCTCTCCGGTATCCCGGAGAGTGGCTTTGGGTGTCTTTCGGGCGACGAGTGTATCTCTGGAAGCCACCTTTCGGATTCCTGGGGTGGTGGCCGAAGGAGGTATGCTTTATGGTGGATATCCGGCCGCCCTCTCTTTTGTCCACTGAGGTAGTCGGCAGATGTGAGGTTGCTACCCCGGATTGCTGGTTTACGGGCACGGGTTCCATGCTGATCTGCGCTACTAGTGGTGCTGAGGTAATCTTGGGCACGGAGGGAGATTTCCGGCCCTTTCATTCCTCCTGGGAACTATTCCTCCCCGCTCCCCCCTTTTTTATTCTTTTTTTTATTTTTATTTTCTTTTCTTCTTTTTTTTTTTTCTTAAAAACAAAAAGCAAAGGAGTAACCTAACCATGGAGAACCCAGTCCATGAACCTACTACCCCGGGCCCCTTCTTGATCCCGCCCCCCATTCTGACCCTCCCTTGTTTTTTGACCACTCTTCGGACACTCCTGATGCCCCTGTACCTCTTGTGGTGCTTTTTTCCCACCGCTTCAGGTACGGGGCTTCACTGACTCCTTTGATTTGTCTGACCTCCGTTTCCCCTTTGACTATGCTTCCGGCCTCTCCTCTAGGGTTTACAGCAATTTGAATCGCCACCCCGTTTCACGACGGACCAACTCCGGTCCTACTCCTAAACGCCAACGACAATCTCCTTTATGATGTTACTTCGTTACCTTCCCCTTCTACTCGGAAAAGACCGACACGTCATGCATCCCTCTCCATGCTCAGTTTCAGACCACACAATGGACTAAATTCTTTTTCTTTAAGACCGACTTCTTCTTCTGCTTATCTTTTTGACCATAGTACGTATTGGCAAAGTGCTCCTGCGCCATGTTGGTAGAGATATTTCATTTCATGCTCCCCAAGAGCGGTACGCGCATCGTCACTGTCCAGAATGCTACCCCAAACTCATGATCTTTCTCTCCTTTACATATCAATACTACTCTATCACTATTGAAAAACATCTTTCTCTCAATTCTTGTAGTGGTACTGTCATTTTGCCTCATACCATAGTCCAACAGAATTTCCGTCATGTGGCAATGACATTCTTGAACAGCTGGAACTCCAGGATCTCCCAATCCTCAAAGTAGACACTTATGTCCTTCCTGCCCGCGGGCGGAGACAATACCCTTGCAATGTGGCTCGATTAATTTTCGACAGCCGTGAACTCCCGTCTTGTTTATGTCGCGGGGCATTGGTTACAAGTTCGAAAGGTGATCCCTACACCACAACAGTGTAGAATTGCTGGCGTTTTGGTCACCAGCGAAATATTACAGATCTATAGCCAAATGCCCAGTCTGTGGTGCCAACGACCATTCTAATACATCTTGCAGTCAACCTCCATCTTGCCTTAATTGTAACGAGGCTCGCCCTTTGTACTCCTCGCCATTGCCAGGTCTACTTAAATGAGCATGAAATCCGTTGCCTCAAAGAGACAGAAGGTCTCCCTTATGCTATGGCAGTTTCTCATCTCCGCCTCCAAGGGAGACTACCCCGTGTTTCTTATTCTCGTGTTTCAAAATGTCCCCCCACTTCTGGGGTCCCAACTTCTGCAGCCTCCTTTGTTGTTACCCCTCCCATAGCCACTCCGGTATCTAATCCTTTTGCTGCCCTGGGCTCTGACGTCCCAACTACAACTCAGTCTGTTCTCACATCTTTGCGTCCTTCCTCACAAGCCCCAGTATCGACAAGACCTCGTCCGACACCTTATACCAACAGCCCCTCACTTCTCAGAAGTCGAAAAACTCCCCATTGCTCAAATCTTCTTTGCCCCCTCCTTCCCTTCTTCCACTTCCGCATTTTACCTTTCCAGTCTCTGTGCCTAGTTCTTCCCCTCTCTCTGGCTCTATTACAAGTGTGGAGGTTCACCCTCTTCCTCGTACTATGCCTTCCACCCCGTCCCCTCCCAAGTTTCTCCCCTTTTCTGCCCCCTCCCGGGTTTTTCTGCCTCTTCTTCCCCTCCCACATCCCTTCCAGCCCCCTTTAAAACTCTTTCGCCCCCCCTCTATTTTGGGTAAAGTCCTTTAAATGCCCCCAATCTTTACTCACCCCCCTTTTCCTTTCTACCTCCAAAAATTGTCTCCCATTCATCCTTTGAATTCAGAAACACTTCAAGCCATTTAGAATATATTGAGAGCCTAAAACCCCCAATGGGGCACTGATTTCCCCCCTTTTTCCCGTTCCTTTCCTTTCCCCCCCCTCCATCTCCATTCTTCCCCAAAGCTCCGTTCCTTTGCTTTCTTTTAAACGTCTTCTGATGGGGCCCCGCCCCGTTTATTTTTCTAAACCCCTTAAATCCGTAGGTGCCCTTCCCCCCGGATTTTTCCCGGTATTTTCTTCCCTTGCCCAAACATGGGCCCATTTCAGTGGGGAAAATCCGCGGCCTCAGGGGTAATCGGGGCGGGTTCAGAAAGTCCCCCTTTTCCAAAGGGTTTTCCCCCCGTTGGTGCTTTGCCCTTTCAAGAACCAAAATTTACACTCAGCTGTTTTTTAACCTTTTCTAAGGGTTTACAATGGGAACCCCCCTTTAAAGATCGCTCCCCAAAGCGACCAAATTAAAGAAGGTTTTTTTGTAAGGGGGTTTTTTTTAAAGTGTAGGTTTTGGGGGTTTTGAAATGGGTAAACTAATTCACAATATTCCTTATGGGGCAAATTCTTCAGTAAGGCACCGAACATACTTCGGGGGTTTAAATAAAATCATAAACCGGGGGGCCACTGTAAAATTTATTGTATTCTTTGGATCCTTTCTCAGATGGGACCTTTAATGAAAGTGCCCTTCTTCTACGCAATGATATTCCGTACTGTCAACTATTTGTCCATACCTCGCTGCATTACACTGCAGCCCGTATCCACTTGAATAAGTGGTTTACAATATATTCTTTATATCTCTCTCTTTCTCGAGCATTTTCTATCCCAGATTTTGCTCTTCTTGTTTCATCCTTACCACCACCACTTCTGTTTACTTGGTGATTTTAATGCCCACCATTTCCTCTGGGGGAGTGGTCTCATTGTGACTCACGTGGCATCCAGTTGGAGGCTTTTCTTGCCTCTCACCCCCTACATGTTTTAAATAGGGGTACTCCCACCCATTTTGATTCTCGTACTCATACTCTCTCTCGCATCGATCTATCAGTCTGCTCTTCCTCCACTGCACTAGACTTCACCTGGTCTGTTCTACCCGACTTATATGACAGCGATCATTTTCCAATCATTCTTACTTCTCCTTCATATTCACCACCTTTCCGTAGCCCTCGCTGGCAATTTTGATCGGGCAAATTGGGACCTTTACTCGCAACCTCACTGCTTTTAGTAGATTCCTTCCTCATCCTCCATTGATGAGCTCCTACACCTCTTCTCAACATCAGTTTTCACTGTAGCTTCTCATTCTATACCCCAACCTCAGGCAGGCATTCTCAGAAGTGCGTGCCTTGGTGGTCTCCTGCTTGTGCTCGTGCAGTACGTTTGAAACGCGCTGCATGGGGCAGGTACCGGTACAATAGAACCGATGAGAGACTTCTTGATTTTAAGCAGAAGTGTGCGATCGCTCGCCATGTCATCCATGACAACGCTAAACCACTTACTGGCGAGATTATGTTTCCACCATCACCTCTGCTTCCTCTATTAGTGCAGTCTGGAAAAAAGGTGAGGAAATTGAGTGGCAAATACTCTCCTGACCCAGCTCCTGTTCTACGGGTCGCCGGTGTTGATGTAGCAAACCCTCTTGACGTTGCCATTGAAATTGGCACTCATCTGGTCCGTATTTCCTGGGGGCTCCATCTTTGCCCCTCGTTTCTTTCCTCCAAGTCTGCCAGAGAGTTAGTACCCTTGGACTTTTCTTCTCTCAGAGAAGAACAGTATAATGTGCCTTTTACGCTTCAGGAACTGGAGGCAACACTCTCAGCTTGCCGATCATCGGCAGCTGGGCCTGACGACATTCATGTTCGTATGTTACAACATTTACATCAGTCAGCCCTTGTAGTCCTCTTACACTTCTTCAATCTTATTTGGTCACAAGGAGTTCTTCCCCAGCTGTGGAAATCTGCCATTGTTCTCCCTTTCCGCAAGCCGGGTACTACGGGACATGATGCCTCCCACTATCATCCCATCGCTCTTAGTAGTGCAGTTTGCAAAGTGATGGAATGTCCTGTAAATCGACATTTAATGTGGTATTTAGAGACACACAACAGTCTCTCCACTAGTCAATATGGCTTTCGTAAGGGCCGATCTACCATAGACCCCATACTACGCTTGGATACGTATGTTCGTAATGCCTTTGCGAATAATCACTCAGTTATTGCCATATTTTTTGACCTTGAGAAGGCATATGACACAACTTGAAGGTATAATATTTTGGCCCAAGCCCACTAATTAGGCCTCCGAAGCAATCTACCAACCTTCCTTAAGAACTTTTAACTGACAGACATTTCCATGTTCGAGTCAATAATGTGCTTTCCCCGGACTTCATCCAAGCTGAAGGTGTCCCTCAGGGATGTGTTCTGAGCACAACACTTTCTCCTTGCTATAAATGATTTGGCCGCTGTTCTTCCACCCAATATTTGGTCATCACTCTATGTTGATGACTTCACTATTGCTTGTGCAGGCGTTGACTGTCAATTCATTACAGTTTCTCTCCAGCATGCGGCGACCGTGTTTCCAATTGGGCCACCACGCATGGGTTTAAATTTTCCAGTACCAAAACTGCCAAATTACTTTCACTAGACGCTCTGTCATCTCCAATCATCCTTTGTACCTCTATGGCTCCCGTATCCCTGTACGTGATACAGTCAGGTTTCTAGGCCTTCTCTTTGACCGTAGGTTATCCTGGAAACCTCACATTACCTCTCTGAAGGCAACTTGTCACAGCCGGCTGAGCCTTCTTAAAACCCTTGCTCATCTTTCCTGGGGAACTGATTGTCGAACTCTGCTTCGCCTACATTCAGCCCTCATTTTATCGAAACTCGATTATGGTGACCAGATTTATTCAGCGGCCTCCTGCTACTCTCTCTAGCCTTAACCCATCCATCACAAGGATTACGTTTATGCCCTTTGGGGCTTTTTGC